TCATCGTTCAAAGCATACGCATCATCATCATCATCATCATCGAAATCACCATAGCCATCATCAAGAAAATGAAGAGGTTCGATTGCAATTTGGTCGTTTACAGGGGAAGATCCAAACCCATTATCTTCATCTTGGTGATCTTTTTGGTGTCGTTTTTCTTGTTTGGGCTCTTCAGAGTCGTAGTCGTCGTCGGCGTCTGAGGCGCTGATGAGTTCCCAGTGCGAGAGAGACTGAGACCGAGACAGAGACAGACCCAAATCATCATCTTCTTCGGATGATGATGATATTTCCAAGAAGTCGTATTCGTCTTCGTCGGAGAACAGAGACGCCATTGAACTCTTCTTGTCCATTTTCTTCTTCTTTCTAGGGCTGTTCATAAACCCGAACAACCCGAAACCCAACTCATTCCGTCCCAACCCAAGTAAAAAAAAGCAACCCGCAGTATTATTTTTAAATTTACGGCTCATTATACTTTTGGCCTGAAATATTTGGGGCGGATTGCGGGTTGGGCCCATAACAACCCGCAATCCCCAACCCAACCCGCACAACATACCTCTAAGTTTTCGGCCCAAGCCGAACTACTCAAGTTCTCCCCTAGGCTCGCTAACATTAGGGTTCACAATCTCATTCTCGGTCTCCCCTCCTGTGAACCCCTTCTTCTTGCCTATTCCTTTTCAGTTTTCCCTCTTCTTCTCCTCCCATGAACCCCTTCATAACTCTCTCCTCATTGCTCAGTTCTCTCAGCCGCCGTCTTGCCCACTTTCTCCGTTGCTCTCTCACCGGACTGATAAGGATTGTTGCTATTTCTATTTAATGATGAAGTTTGAATATTATATTGAACTTTAAGTCTTTAATTTTTTGAATGTTGAAACCGATCACCCAACCCACTCCGCACAGCCTCAACCCAACTCGAACATCGTTGGATTGTGAAAATTTTCTAACATCGTTGGGGTCAAATATGTGCAACCCGCACTCTTTAAGACGGAAAAAAAAAATTTCTACCCCGCACCAACCCAACCTATAAATAGTCCTACTTCTTTCTTCTTTGCTTGTGATTTGATTTGATTTGTGGTTCGGTTTTTCAGTTTCTCTCTCTCTCCCTCTCTCTCTCTTATTTTATCTTTTCTTTACTTTACTTCAGTTAATGAGATGAGAAATTTTTTTTTTTTTTTGCTTGAAAAATGAGATGAGATTTGATTTTGTTGTTTTATTGCTTCGGGTGTGTCCACGCGTACTTGGGGATACGTGGGTTCACCTAGCATGCCACATGTAAATTCCAAAACGTTTTAAATTTCTCTTTTTAAATTTTAGTTTTCCACCAATTTTTTTTTCTTTCTTTTAGGAGCTTCTTATTTATTATTACTACTTTTAATGTCATATGAGAATAGAGATGTCAAATGGGCTGGGACGGCCCGACCCAGTCGTAATAGTGTCAGATTTGGTACGGCTTGGTTCGCTATTGTTACGGGTCGTGCTGGCTCGGCACGTGTAATGGGCTAGGACTGGGCCTCGGCTTCTCAGCCCGCGGCCCAAGCCTGGCCCTAGCCCATTGGAGGCCCGCGGCACGGCCCGTGTTCGGCCCGGCTCAAGCCCGGATTCGGCCCGGCCCAAGCGCGCGAAACGCCCCGTGAAACAACCCCGCCCGTTGGGCCCGCGAAGGGCCCAACGGTAAGAATCCGAAAATGGCTTAAAAGACCTCTATAAATACCCCTTAATTCCACCCTAAATCTCATACAAAAATTCACTCTCAACTTCTCATCTCACTCTCATTCTATCTCTCAACTTGCCTCTTTGATTTTGATTCTAAACTTTTTTCTCGCGTTCACTCATTTTCTTACTCATTCATTTACAAAGTTCAAGTTCAATCAATTTCCAGAAAATGACCGCACCAAACTTCCTTGATTTCACTGCTCTTCATGAGCTTGGTGATGAGGTATTTTTTTATGATGAAATGATGCCTCCCTACCCCACCCCCACTGAACCAGAAATGCTCCGGTGGATAATGCTTCAGTGCACAATGGGGAAGCTGGAGAACGCAGCAGGGGAAAAAGACCGCTAACTTCTCCGACATGTCAGCATTTCACCGAGGAGCCCCGACCAAATCTAAAAACAGGTGAAATAAAAATTTGTGCAGGATGTAAATATTGTAAAAAACACTTTTCTAATAAAAAGGGTGGGGGGACTGGTCATCTGAATAGACATTAGAAAGTATGTCTACCGTTGCACCAAGGTGGGAGTGTGGACTCCTGCCAACAAACACTATCACTCACATCACAGGGGTTACAAAATTTTACATACAATGCACAATGTGCTCGTGAGGCACTAGCTAAATTTCTAGCTAGTGCCGAATTGCCTCTTTCTTTTACAGATGATGCGTCGTTCGAAGAATTCATCCAGACGGCCTTCTGCCCACAATTTAAACAGGTAAGTAGAATACAACTCGTTCTGATTGCATGAAAGTGTTTTATGCAATGAGACAATCTCTTGTTGATAATTTTAGAACTTTTAATACTACTGTCTCTTGCACTTCTGATTTGTGGGAGGGGTGCAATAAAACTGGATATTTATGTGTCACAGCGCACTACGTTGATGACGATTGGGTTTTACAAAAAAGAATAATTGATTTTTGTTTATGTCCATATCCTCATAACGCATCATCTATTTTTGGTATGATAATGGAATTTTTTGGGTCTTTTGGGATAGAAGATAAAGTTTTAACAATTACTTTTGATAATGCATCAGCTAACACAACTGCAATTAACATGTTTAAATGTAGTTTGAAACCAGCGTTTGGGGGGAAAATTTTTCATCAACGGTGTACATGTCACATAATTAATTTAGTAGTTTAGGTAGGAATTGAACATATCTCATATAATCTTATAAATATTAGAGAATCATTATCATTCATATCTAGTTCTGGAGCTCGGCTCCAAGAATTCAAACAATATTGTAGGAACAGTCAGATGCGCCCAAGAAAGTTTTCAACTGACGTGAGACATAGGTGGAATTCCACATATTTAATGTTGAAGGCAACACTCTCGTATTCACAGCTTATCACGACATGCGTAAACAGTAAGAACGATCAAATTTTAATTTTCGATCCTGATTGGCAGATTGGTGAGTATTTTTTTAAATTTATAGAAGTTTTTTACAATGCTGCTGAATTACTTTCTCGAGTTTATTATCCTACTGCACGTTTAGCTTTACATCAACTATTTACTATTTCAGAAACATTTTCTTATTATAGGGATACAGAACTTTTTGGAAATATAGTTAAGTTAATGGAAAATAAATTTAAAAGTTATTGGTCAGGTTGTCCTATGTTATATGCATTGACAACCATTTTAGATCCTAAGTGCGAAGTAGATGAGACTGAATCATTGATGACTGCTACCGCAGAAAATTTAGAAATAGATATGCAACTAACTATTACTGACGCTAAGAAAATGTTAGAAAAGGTTTTTAGTTTGTATGAAGCAAAATACAGCACAGGTAAAAAAGAACAGGGAACTTTGTCGTCAACTAGCAGTTCGGGGCCTAAAGGATTGTCGTGGAGTTTCTTGAAGAAGAAAGAGAAAACGACAGGATCGTCCTTAACACAAGCGTTTACCGAACTAGTAAAATGTTTTGAAGCAAATTTTGTAATTGATGACGACAAACTAGGCATCTTACAATGGTGGAAGAGCAAGACCGATCGTTTTCCAACACTGTCCGTAATAGCTCGTGACATTCTAACAACTCCAGTATCAACGGTAGCATCGGAGCAAGCTTTTAGCGCAAGCAACCGAATTCTTGACGAGAAGAGAAGCAAAATGCATCTAGATATCTTGGAGGGGCTAATGTGCGTTAAAGACTGGAAAGATGCCAGAAGACGAAAACAACAATACACAGATGATTCAATGCAAGAATATTTTTCTAACTTAGAAATCACATAATCTTTTGGAAGCACTTAGGTTTGTAATTTACTATTCCTAGCTACTGCACTCTTTTTTCCTTCGCTAAGGTTTTGTCCTGATCTCCCCACGGGTTTTACTTGGCAAGGTTTTTAACGAGACAGTCATTTATGTGTACTTATTTCTATTATGTCAATTCAATAAAATCACATCTTTTGGGGCATGTGATATATTTTTTTAATTAAATTTTAAAAAAATACAAAGACCGGGGCCGGCCCGTGAAGGGCTTGGGCCCGGGCCCTTATGACCTAGGGCCGTGGGCCTAGACCGGGCCTGAATTTTTCTTCTCAGGCCCGGCCCTGCACTGTGCAGGCCTGTAACAGGCCTGGTGTAAGTTCTTGTTAATACAATAGTGAATCAGTCATGGATATATGTGTATAATGAACCCACCTAAAATCTTTTAAATATATATTTCACCGGCCTACAAATGGCCGGCGTATAGTATAAATTTTGAATTACCATCTACTATATTTACCATTTTAATCAATTTCGATTCGCACTCTCAAGCACGAAATAATCAAGCAGTAGCAGAATTCTCAATGACTATCAATTTTCACAAAAGATTGTCATACACGAACTTTTAATTGCGTTACCAAAAACGCATCAAGGTCCCAACTCGCAATGGACAGGAAATCATCTTGGCTGAAGCATCAAGCATTATCATATGCTTCCAAAACAAACACGGTTAACGTCAAAATGTCAGGGTGGGGAGCCGGATGACATCAATGATCCCCAATTTCCAGAACCAAAAACATCAATACGTCAGGGCTTAAGGTTCTACGCCTCCAAGTCTTGAAATCAAGGGCAAGTAGGCAACAAATAAAGAGAACAAGATAATATAAACGACCTCTGCCTTGAATGGCATTAAATTAACCAAAACAAAATTTCTTTGGAGGACGATTTGCTCGAAAAGAAAATGTCTCCACAGGTACCTAATATTTAAATAAACAACCACCTTTGAAGGAACAAAAAAGAGAGCGAGAGTTACGATAATGCATCAAACTAGGGGATACATATGGGAAAACACCATTGCAAGCTGGCACTGTATTACTTTCATAGCCAACAAATTGATATTCAAATCATCACAAGGATAAGCAAATTTTGCATACATTGATAAGTAAAGTATCCTTCCTATAACCATCATCTATTTTAACATGGGCCTTGACCATTCTTGCAATAAACAAGAAAAGCCGAAAACAAAATTCTGAATCTGTTTATTACATTGAAAAGCATAATAAACTATTTAAAGAAAAACAAAAAGGGATAGCCTGAAGGAAAAGAGATAGCACCAAATGACTCATTTGAAATCGAACTCTTCTATAGAATTTCTTACCTCTTACCAACAGATACAAATGAGTCCACATAATTGCCTCTGCTGCCAAAAGGATGTGCAGGAAAAAAAAAAAGGTCAAATAATTCTCCTGGTTAAGCAGCTTCATCGAATCTGAGATGGAGAACACAGCAACCCAGAAGCATCTGCTCCAACAACAGCAAGATCACAAACGGTACAGATCTGACCATCCTGGCTTGGCACAAACCGTGAACTACAGTATGGGCAGGAAACATCCTTTTGTCCTCGGTAAATCGGCACATAAGTTGCTCCACAAATCACAAATGGGTTCCTAAAATCGTAGTTCAGCCGCGACGCATCAGTCATGTTCCTCTCAGCAGCCTGCAGCACTTGTCTTGCGGTCTTAGCTTGGTTCTCAATGGTGGGATTGGTCTCCAAAAGCCGCCTGGCAAAGTTAGCAGCGGTAGCAAGGTTCTTTGCCTTGTAGCAAACAGTCATGGCATTTAGCAAAGCAAGCCTTAAGTGTGGCAGCTGGAGGTTGCAGTGAGTGAAATAGGCTGCTAGCTCCTGCTGGCGTACCGGATTGTCTTTGATTTCCCTCCTCTTCAGCTCCATTTGCAAGCCTAGCACATACTCCTTGACAATAATAATCAGCTCCTTGACTTCATCGACCTCCCTTCTAGACTCAACAACAATCAGAGGAATTGTGTGAAGAATGTTAAGAAAGAGGCGAAGAGCTTCAGTGAACTTCCCAGAAGTGGTAGCCTTGTATCCAGCTTTGAGTTTTTCTTCCAACTGTGAGAAATTGAACACAAGTGCTGGAGGGCCCCTCACATTCGGGCTAGCAGATTCATTCCACCCACGTTCAACTGCTAGTGATATCACTGGAGCAGAGGAAAATGCTCGTAGATATGAATGGCTGCCATTGTGGAGATCGAGAAACATGGATTTCAAAGGAGCGAAGTTTTTGATTCCAAGCTGCCTGTTAAGCCACCGCATTGCAGTATCAAAGTTGCCCGCTGCTGCATGTTCAGCAGCAAGGGACGATCTCTGGGTCCAAATCTGGCTTACAGGCATGCCAGGAGTTGGAGCAACAAAAACAGAAGACCTTGCATTTGCAGAAGCCTTTGGAGTGTCTGCTTCAGGAGGCAGCTCCAAATCTTCAAGGTCCCATCCTCCCTCTTCATCATTTTCTTCAGCCGCTTCTCCATCTTCCAATATTGCAGAGACATCCCCATTCTGTAAGCCGTCAACATCAACCATGTCCAGCTCCTCACCCCAGTCACAATCAGCAGCAGCTTCATCCTCTTCAACTGCAGCGCCCCTACCAATATTATCCAGACCTCCTTCAAATATGCCTTTCATTACCCTTAGAAGAGGCCAATCACCACCGCACATGACAGGAGTTGGGGGCATCATAAGGGTAGGCACTTTCCCTTTCGGCAAAGAAGGAATGTTGTCTCCCAATTCAACAGCTAAACGCTCAGCAATGTCATGAAGTCCATGAACTGACGCTGTGATGTGGGCAAGTGGCAGGTGACCCACATTCTCTAAGATCTTGATACGTTCTCGAACATCACCTAAATACAAAGCATTGTGGAATTGGCCCATGACATCATTCTTAACCTCGGCAATTTTCAGCATCTTGGATAGCTTGTCCGTGTTACCAGTTATGAGATACAGGAAGGATAACCTCTCAAAATTTTTTGTCTTCTGGTAGGCATACTCAACAATACCTGCATTACCCTGACGAAGAGCCTCTACCCCCAACCTGTACCAATGATCTTTTTCATCAATTGCCGTAGCTGATGCAACAGCAATTTGAATATTTCCACTCTCCAGAGCCAGATTGAAACGATTTCTCTCATCTTTCACAAAATGTAGAGCAACTTCAGGAAAACCCTTCTGCTGAAGATAAGCAATCATTGCCTGCCCACAGAGTTGTGAGCTCCTTATCATGCTCATAACACGGTCATATCTCTTCTTCAGTAGGGACAGCTTGAAAATATATTCTGTGGCATCCATAACTATGGCTCTGTTTTTCCCATCCCGATCCAAGCAAAATATGGCATTTCCAGAAACCTTCATGATGTAAATTGGAACATCCAGGGTTCTAATTATTCCACTATCTCCATTCGGGAGGCAGTACTTAATATGATTTAGAGTTGTATAGAGGAATATGCCATTGTCATCCCAAGCACCACTCTTGACACGGATTGTTTCATGAAGAGTGCACTGGTGCACAAGCTTCTTGCTGGCAATGATGATAGCATGCTTGCTAAGCAATGCAACATTTTCCATGTCACTAGACCAAACAACATACTTGACAAAGGGAGTTTGAAGATCACCGAGAACCAACCTCTGCTGCAGATCGAATATAACCACTCTATCCTCTGCTCTACAAAGCAAGTTACCAGTTCCAGCATAGAATATGGCATCAGCAGCAATTGGAAGGGCACTTTTCTTCACAATCTCATTTTTCAGATTCTTAACCAATACTTGGTTGCTGCTTCTATCAAGAACAGCAAATCGATTACGAGCCACGAAAACAGCAGAGCCCCCAACACCTCTCTTTGCATCTGGCACGTTATCACCCCTACTAATGCTGTCCTTAGGTATGGTATACAATTCATAAGAGCCCCCCTCAGCATCTGAGCATACGAGGATGGCATTTTCTGTAGGGCTGTAACTGAGAGTTCTAGGACTTTGATTTAAACTGGTGGAACCAGGGCGTCTAATTGGAGCAACTTGTGCATCCTTTTGACTTGAAAATTCATAGGACCGCAGAAACCGTTCTTTAACATAAAAGAGACTATCACCACTCACTGAAAATGCTGGCCGTTCTCTCTCTAACTTAAATACAATCATGCCACTGTCATGACCTGCTGCCAAAAGGTTCATCTCAGGGTGAGCTGCAAGAATCCAAAACCGATCATGTTCTCTGCGAAATGTTTGGAGCCCAGTTCGCCTTGTTGCATCCCACACACGAATACTTTTGTCTTCTGAATTGGATACAATTATGTCCTGTTTGGCATGGAACATAACACATGAAACATTGTTCATGTGCCCCCTCAATGTGTCCACTTCCCAAGCTTTTGTATCTGGAAACAAAACAAAAATTCCACTAAAGACTTAATTTCACGTACAAAGCCATGGTTGAACACCAAATAAAAGAAACATATATGAACCAATAAAAGGAACTTAAATAATCAAGCACGATAATCATGTAGAAAGAAATAAAGTAATTGTATTCACTACATAAGTGAATCAGCCAAGAAAATGTGAGTTTTATATGGTAAAAACGATAATATGAATACCATTCATCCGCCACAATTTAACTTGGCGATCATCTGCTCCTGAGACAATCAGAGGAAGGGTGGGGTGGAATGCAGCCCAATTAACACCTCGATCATGGCCCTCCAAAACATACTTCACAACAGCATCGATACCACCAAAAAGATCTGTATTCATCTGACTCAAACGCAGCATGTCATCCCCAGGAGGAGATCCAGTTTTCTTCTTCAAGGCACCAATATCCCAAACACGAACTGTCTGATCAAGAGAGGCTGACACAACAAGATCTTCTTTGGGGTGGAAGGAAGCGCACATAACATAATGGTTGTGGCCCGTTAGCACAGAAATACAAGTGCGTGACTGCCAGTTCCACATGCGAATAGTCTGATCATCACTGGCACTTACAATCCATGGGTTCTCATGATGGAACTGCACGGTTCGAATATAATCAAGGTGTCCAAGAAGAGTAAAAAGACACCTATGCAGCTTGTAGTTCCAAACTTTAATTTTGTAATCATCCCCTGTAATAAAAAACAAACAAAAAAACAAAAGTAGTTGGGAACTTTCAATGCATCAATTGCACTATATATCTGGTGCTGCATTAAAATAGCAACACTGAAATGTTACATGACTGCACCAGAACACTCCCCTAGGAAGATTTGGAATTTCAAATGAATTTCATATTCGTACTTTCTGCTTCTAGTTAAGCCACTAAATTCTGAACAACAAAAACATAACCTTTTGTACTGAGAAAAAAAATGAAGAAATTGAATTAGATCTTAATCCGATTAACAGATCTTCACAGTCACACAGTTCAGTGGCATACAATTTCCAAATTTTCAAAGAGAGCGAATTTCTAGGGCAACATAATTGCAAAAACTGTATTGATACATCATCTAACAATCAAAAGGCACTGTCCGATTGGTATATAAAATAACAGAATATATGGGGAAAGGGGTGAGAAAAATACTCAAGTATAGTATCACCAATTTGATTAACTTATGTAAGCAACCTGCCAATATAATTTTACACAGTTTAGCGGCTTTATCTTTCTAAAGCCAAGTCTATAATTGCTATAATTCCTATCCCATCACTTCAGATCTCTTCAACCTCAGTCAGAGCAGCTAACCTGGATCTGTGATTTATAAAATACATCTAAAGAATAATCAACTTTGTTTTTCCATGAATAAACACCTTCAACATATTCAGCAGTGTTCTATGGATCTAGCAATATTCAGCAATTACAAGAATAACATTAACGTTCACAACTTCAAACCAAAAAACATAAAGAAATAAATATCACAGAAATTTGACAACGAGATTCACAATTGCATATATCAATTATCTAAGGCAAATTAATTCGCACCTCCAGACACAAAGAGAGGTTGAGATTTGTGAAAATGAACACCATCACACTCTCACACCATTGAGTGGCATACAGTTTCCCAAAAATATATACTATATTATATATACTATATTTTTTACCACTTGGACAGTCTTCATTATTTTTAGTTGATACATCAACACAGTTAATGCAATTACACTGCCATAGCAAATTTGTGTATATATAATATAATATAAAATATTTAATACATACAAATATATATATATATATATATATATAAATATATGGTACAAGACCAAGAGACAAGAGATAGAATCTAGATAGAATGGTAGAACCAAGTTAGAGAAATAGAACCACTAAAGTGAAATAGAACGGGAACCGTAGAGACAAAACGAGAACTTAAAGGGGAAACTAATAATCTCAATATTCATTCATCAGCCAAAACTCTAAATTGCAAGCTACCCTAATTATAGGTAAACTACATGACAAGCTAAGAAACTGAACCAAAATAAAATAAGAAACTTGATAATCAGAAATTAACCCCAATAACACAAATCCCAGATTAAATAAAACTAAAAGGCAAATTAATATTCCAATCTCAATCATTTTCGGTCCGCGAAAGAACTTGACGCTTGGGAGGGGGAACTCGAAAGAATCATGAAGCAACAATCTGAAACGCATGCCCATCTTCAATCTTGAACCTTGATATTTAAAAAAAAAATGAAAAAAAAGGAACGTAGGAGGTTGATATTTGATTGTAGAAACATCTTTGTTGTAGATATAACATAAAAAAACTCTCCGTCTTTTTATCAACTGATTTCAGCAACCTGCCACTACCATTTAATTTTATCTCAGTTTCAGCGGCTTAATATTCGGGTTAAGGTTTTTACTTGGTTATTATTTTCATAAGAAACTGAATACTAGTAACTTAGTGCAGAAGAAACATCCCAATCTTGTTTTGTCTCCTAGTTGGTGTGTTATGTGCAGAGAGACTGCGGAATCAGTGGATCATTTATTCCTCCATTGCAAGGTGGCTGGGAAATTATGGTCTAAGGTATTGGGAGCTGCTTCACTTTCTTGGGTCTTTCCTGCCCAAAGTAACGCAATTCTGGTAAAAGATTTATTTGGTTTTGGAAGGGGGAAGGAAGGTAAAAAAGTTGGAAGCTATGGTTTTAGCAACTCTCTGGGTGGTTTGGCTTGAGAGAGATCAGAGGATCTTTGAAGAGAAGGAGATGCTTATTGAAGACTTGTTTGAGAAGGCTAACTTTATTGCTTCTCTATGGGCTTCTACAGATAAACCATTTGAGGATTTTCCATTATCCTTGATAGTTGATATTGCTTAGTTGGGAGGACGTTTTGGTTTAGTCTGTTTTAAGAGTTTTCTGGTCTGTAATTTCTAAATGTGGGCTGATTATTAGTGTGGTCTTATAGTCTATTTGTGTTTGGTCGTTGTTTATATATTTTTGTATTTTTAGGATGGATATCTCATCCGTCCTAAATCTCCTGTAATGTTTTTATTTGTTTAATGAAATTTTCGTCTCCTATAATAATAATGGGCCCGTTTAGTTCGCTGATTCGAGTTTTTAATTTGAGTTGAGATGTGATTTTATGTGAGAGCTTTTTACTGTAGCAAAAAAGTTAGATGTGATTGTTTGTGAGAGCTTTTTACTGTAGCAAAACTCGAATTCTAAACTCGTATCAGCGAAATGAACGGGACCAATAAGTGCAAGTCTATGACTAATATAATTCCTATCTCTTCACTCCAGCTCTCTTAACCTCAACCAGAGAATACTAACCTAGATCTATGAATTATATGAAATACCTAAAAAATAATCAACTTTCTTTTTCCATTTAGAATAAATGCCTTAAACTTAATCAGCAGTGTACTAGGGCATGGATCTAAACATATTTAACAATTACAAGAATACCATTAACGTTCACAATTTCCAACCAAAAAACAAAATGAAATCGAGGAAATTTGGCCATAAAATTCACAATTGAATAAATTAATTATCCAAGGTAAATTGGAGAATTTATCACTGGAAATGGAATTAATTCGCACCTCCAGACACAAAGAGAGGCTGAGATTTGTGGAAATGAACACCGCGAACTGGTCCTTCATGCTCGTCAAATCGATCGATCAGAGTCCCCATACGATAGTCCCATAGCTGGATCACCCCGCTGTGGAGACTCGCGAGGATCCACGGCCTCTTACTATGGAAGCTCAGTCCCTTCACTCTATTGCTCTTTGTCTCGAACTTCGTCAACATTTTCGCTCCCGACTCTGCAACCAACCCAATCGCATCAACCATTCGCAAATTTCAACAAAAAAACATCAAATCCTCAATCAAATCTGAAACCTAAATCAAAATCCACACAAAAAATTCAATTTCCTCAACCTGTTTGATCCCAAAGAAAAATGTAACCATTTTCAATCCCAAACACAAATTAAAACGCATTCATTCCGATTTCGCTTTCCTGGATTCGGAATCTTCAAATCATTTTCAACAGTTCCGAGCTCAAAATCCAGCATTATACGAAAACATAGAAATGGAAAACATGAACAGATCTGAACGAAGAAAACATAAGAAATGAAGAATTCACCTCAGATCTATCTGCGATTAAATCAGAATCAAGCGCACAATCGCATCAGCAATCAACACCCCCAGGTGTCGGTGTATGTATCTATAGGTGTATACAGATAATAGAATTTTAGAGAGAGAAAGTTCCTGCAAGAGAGAGAGATCGGGGGAAATTAGAGTAAGAGAGAGAAAATGAGGGGTTTATAGTTATGTCTTTAGATCTAGCGTCGTAGAGTGCCTGTTAATTTTTAGAGGGATCCAGAGAGGAGGGCAAAATATGGGGTGCGTTTGGAATTGGTTTCAAAATGTTTTTATTTTTTGTACGAAAATGAAAATGAAAACGTTTTTAGTTTTATTTTTGAATTATTTTTAAAAATGCGTTTGGTAGTTTTATTTAGAGATTGATTTCAGTTTTAAAAAAAACTGAAACTGCGTTTGGTGGTTTAATTTTTGAAAACATGTAATAATATATTAAATAAATAATATTATTAAATATATTATATAAATAATATATTAAATATATTAAATAAATAATATTATTAAATATATTATATAAATAATATTATTAAATATATTAAATAATAATATATTAAATAAATATATTAATTAAACATATATAATACAAAAACGGTTTCAGAGGGAAGAAAATGAAAAAGAAAAAAAGAAAGTGAAATCCGTTTTTCAGAAAACAGAAAACGAAAACAAGAAAATGAAAACACCTTTTTTTCGTTTTCTGATTTCCACAAAAAGACAAAAACGTTTTTGGTTTTGTTTTTTAAAAAAAATTGCACCAAACACGTTTTTAACACCCGTTTTCATTTTTTTGCTTTGAAAACCGTGAAAAACGAAAACGAAAACGCAAACAAACGGGCCCATGGAATTTTGTTTTGAATTGTTTTTAGAAGAATTGTATTTGTAATTACATTTGTAATAAATTATAGTTACAAAAATTTTTCAAATCATCCATCAAGAAAATTCCAATCAATAAAGGCTTGTTTAGTAAAGGAGTTCAAATCCCAATTGAAGGTTATGTTACAGTATTTTTTATTATAAAAATTTAAATTTTAAAAAGTTATATAATAGTGTTTTTTCTAAAACAATTTAAAATTTAAAATTATAGTTCAAACAACTTGTTTTGAATCCATTATTCTCTTATTCGTAATTTATAATTCTCTTGGTAGTTTAGTTTAGAAAAAAATACATTAAGTACAACATATTTTAATCAAATAAAGTTTAGTATGATAAATTAAACTGCAAATTATTTTGAAATACATATAAGAAGATATTTTCAAAATTATAAAACAATGCTCAAATAAGGATATTTATAAGCCAAACTATTAATCAAAGAAATTAGGTGAAAAAGTATTTACAAGGGCTATGTTTATAAAATATTTTAGAAGATTGTAATAAAAAAAATACTTAAGAATAGACATATTGGTAGGAAGGTGTTTTAATAGAGAAACTAGTAAAAAAGATTAATAAACTCATTTAAAAGCACAATATTTAAATAATAATAATAAAAGCATATAATTAAATTACAAATATCAATCAAAACTTGTTATATCTGTATAGACAAGCAAAACAAATTTGAGAAAAAGATTTTAGTATCTAAATTATATAGAAATCAATTAGAAGGTACATATGATCAAATAGTGGTTAAGAAAGGTTCACAATTATGAAAAACATATTTTAATTGAGATAATTAGAGAAAAAAGTATTAATTAAAAAGTACAGAAAAGCATAATTTTGTGTTGACATATTATTTATATAATTTTAAATAGTTAAGTATCATTGTGGTCTTTTATTTTTTCCTTACTAATTGAATAACAATTATTTATCGTCATTTTTTTATAAAAAAAAAAATAGTTTAAACGGGAAAACCATTTTAGGGTGGTAACTAAATATAAAAAAAAATATATATATATATATATTATATATTTACGAAGAAGAAGAAGAAGAAGAAGAAGAAGAAGAAGAAGAAGAAGAAACACTTAAAATGAAGATTGGTCTCACACAACCCAATCAAAACACACATACATCTAAAGAGCTATAGTAGTAAGTCTGCTAAGTGTAAAAAAAAAATTATGTTTTTGGTCTCCCAATTCAACACTTAAAATGAAGATTGGTCTCACACAACCCAATCAAAACACACATACATCTAAAGAGCTATAGTAGTAAGTCTGCTAAGTGTAAAAAAAAAATTATGTTTTTGGTCTCCCAATTCAACACTTAAAATGAAGATTGGTCTCACACAACCCAATCAAAACACACATACATCTAAAGAGCTATAGTAGTAAGTCTGCTAAGTGTAAAAAAAAAATTATGTTTTTGGTCTCCCAATTCAACACTTAAAATGAAGATTGGTCTCACACAACCCAATCAAAACACACATACATCTAAAGAGCTATAGTAGTAAGTCTTCTAAGTGTAGATTGATCCAGGAAAGGTTCAAAGGTTGCAAGATGGGATTATCCTAATGAAATATATATATATTTATATAT